GTTTGTACAGGCAGTAGGCAGAATTACACCTTGGCTCCTTCATGCATCAAAACCACTGGAGATTTCTTAAGTTTTTCAACAAACCTAAATGCACAATCCTTCTTCCTCCCCAGCACACAACTACATATACCCAGGTGATTCTGTTAAATTAAGAAGCATAGGGTAAAACTGCATTTCACTGATACCAGAAACATCTCCTGTGGAAAGGGGACTGCTATCTGAAACCATTCACTTGGCCAGAAGTTGGCCCAGAAAGGAGCCATCCCTAAAACTTTAATGAACCAGGTTCCAGTCTCATGCAGTAAAAGGTGTCAGTGTGAGGTTTGAAAAAAAAGACAAAAGGGAAGGGAGAAAGGTTGTTTTAACCTTTCTGTTAGGTGACACATGGTAATTAACACCATCTTAAGACACAAGTAGACAAATGACCACAGGGAAAGCCAGCATGTGAATCTGCTGTCATTTAACAAGAGTATATGCATATTATTTAAGGTAAGCGGAATCATTTACTGGGAAGTATTACAAGTCAAAAGAGTAAACACAAATGTTTAGTAGAAAAAGACTGCAGTTAAAAAACCCTCAGCTTACCCAGGTTGATATACTCATCTGACTTGAGAGAAACCAGTTACTAGGCATTTTCAGGCATTAGTAGTTCAAAGTAAATATGAAAAAGAAATCAGAAAAAAAAAAATTCACGCTTACCTGCATCTTGTAACAAACAAAACCAATGAATATCCCATCCTCATGAAGATTTTGCAACAGTATCTAGTACTAAGTAAACAATTTGCTCCTACACTAAAAGAAAACATCATCTTTTGTGCTGTTTTAAATCACTTTAGCTTCTACTCTTATGAGTCCATTTGTGGTCTCAATGAAATAAAAGTTTGCATTTGAAGGTCATTGGTAATTTGCATCTGATCGAGATGAGGCAGTATGGCAGCACAAGATGAAAAAGAGAAAGACTATTTCTGCATCATCTAAACTGTGTCATCATGGCTAAAACTGCAATTCAGGATAACCGGCTTAGGAAAAAAAGAAAACCCAACACAGGAACTTGTGGGCCTCCTCACAGCTGTTACTGTGCTGTCCAGAAAAGAAGCCTTCACAAAACATCCAGCTGAAATGGTTGCGAAATTAGCTTTTACAATGTCAAGTAATGCAATGGCTGTTTGCAAGGCAGGCAGGCAATTCAAACAGCAGCACTCGAGCATCAACCCTCCTGTCCTCCATGTGCACAGAAGGAGAAAATACTGCAGATTCCAACTAAGAAGCAACAGCTGAACTTTTATCCACCATTGTACTAGGAAAAAAAAGTATCTGCCTGATCTCACTCTGGGATTACAAAGCTGATATCCTGAGCATATTCACCTACTAGTAGTATAGTCCTTGAAGTGGCTGCTATTTATTCCTCAAATTATACTTTATTATTCCTAATTTCTTCGAACAACTATCGAAATCTGAAGATCAACCAACACATGATTTAAAAACAATACCAAAGTCATACTGGACTGCTGAACTACACCACAATATCCTATTTTTTTTCCTAGAAGAGCCTCCATAGCATCTACAAATGAAGTGGCCTCATTTACTGTGAAGCAAAGTTTACAGATGACAAATTTAACCCCTTCTAACATTACACCCATTTTGCTTACATTCCCCCAGGTTAGTGTTACTTCTTCACATAACTCTTACATTACTATTTGCCAAAGCTCCCTAAGTTTAAAAGAGAACCATTCATATAAAGAAAACTCACTTGTGTCTTTTGTTTGCACCCATCAGACAAGTCACCACTCTAGGAATGCATTTAAAGGTTGGTTTGGCTTTTTGTTACAATTAAAATTTCTACACATTCATTTCAGTATTGAAACCAATTTAAGTTCTGGAATACTTGGTAGAACAATTAAAAACCAAACAAACCCCACAAAAAAAAAACCTCTCAAACCCATAAATTAGTCCTCACTTGAAACACTTGTCAGGTTTTCAGTATTTAAGAAGTTAAAGAGGTAAAGCTGTACCAATCCTAAAGTGTACCTTCATGGACTTTTAACCACCTCACTGCTGGGGCTCCAAGCACCAACAGTGACAAAAATTAACAACTCACGTGTGTGGAGGATTTTACCATATTAAAGACAGTAACTTACTGAAACTTAAAAGGTACCTCTGTGACCTTCAGAGGCCACGAAAGATCTGCATAATGAGTCAAATAAGGTAACAGCGTGCCAAAGTCATCCAATTCTCTAAATAGGGTGCTAACTGCAGAGCTTAATTACCAGTGCTTTTCGTATTCACGAATTACGTAATCAGCCTGGCAGAGCAGAGTTTGAGGCTGGGACTGTCTGAACATACGGCTGAGAGGAGCGAAAGAGAGAAACGCTCGATGCAAAGCACCACTCCTTACCCCTTCCTTAATCAGAACGCCGACTACAGATTCCACTTTCAAAGGTCTCCCAATGCAAGACCTATTTACTCGGTCTATTAACACAGGCATGGAACATCTTAACATATCATCTGTCCCATTTTGAGGAGGACTTTCCGACTCAGTCTCTTCCAACTTGTCCAGCAATAAATATTGCAGCTGAACCAATTACTCCACGATGGCATCCTCTGCTTTTCTCACTTTCCAGCTTTATTCCAATGTCTTCATTTTTCACTAGTCTTCCCAGCCACAAGGGGAAAGTAAGTCATCTGCAGACATCCCTGAACTTTGGCAATGTCCATTCACCTGTACCTACAACTATCACCAGGGTGCTAAAAGGGTAAGAGGGGAAAAAACAGTTGGTTTAGGTTTCACAGCTATTTAGCACTTACCCTGCTCAGTATCCTAACAAGAAATGTGACTGGTACTAAAACACTTCTCTCCAAATGACGTTCACACCTGGTGATAAGGAATTTATTCAAGGCTACAAGCTGGTATGGCATAAACTTTCAAAAGAAAGACCTGTGGTAAGTAGATGGTAAGTACAGAATACACTTTGAGATTAGCTCTACATACCCACTTACCGATGTGCATGACAAAAAGTAAAGATTTGGCTCATAATTATACTTTGGAAAGTGATGCTATCTATGAAAGCTTCTATGTTCCTACACCAAAGATAAAATTAGACCATTCTATTTAGACAGAAATGTTCTCTATTCATAGATATAGCTGCTATTACTTAAATAATCAGCTATCAGGCTTGATGTGGACATAGACAAGTTCTTCCACATACCATGAACTGAACTTGACAATACCAGATGAGATCAACAGGGCAGTTGAAAGGCACTAATCTGCCCAATATCTGACCACTTTGATCATATATAAGAAAAAGATTTTCCATATGACACAGAAAATAGATTTAACTATTACACTGGTATTTGAAGTGCTAACTTCAAGGGATGAACACAGTTCTATTTTTCTGACACCTGTATCAATACACACAGTATAGTCTCAAGTCTACTGGTCTCTGAGTTACAGTTTGGTACTTCTCATTCCAGAACCACTACTTTTTCGTCCTTAGGAAAAGGCAGAATCTGACACAACATTTGTTGTCAGACTGCCTAGCGTGGTAGGTTTTGCAACAAGATACCAATACTTTTTGAATACTCTGTACAAGAATTCATAGGCCTACCTAGATCTTATTACACCACAAACCTTACTTTACTATTCTGCAAACAAAACCATTAAAGTCCAAAAGGTTACTTCTAATGTTTTCCTTCTTGTGGCAAGCATCACTTACTGATTCTTAACATGTGAGACAGGAAAGCTTAGAGGAAACTGGACATAAGCATACCCTTTGCACGGTGTATTTCTACCCAGCCACAGCAGGAAGAATGCTGCCAACTAACCCATCACCACGAAGGCTAAGCCAGCGTAAGATCTCTCATCCTAGATGACGCATTTCACCTCTTGACAACGCATGCCACCCGGCTAACATTGAATATGAGGGGGATGCATTTCCTCCTAGCATGTTTCGTACCCTTAGGTAGCCAAGTTCTCTGCTTCCTAGCATAGCCGTGGTCCCGGCAGGCGTGTTGCTGCCACAGGATGCCTGTCAGAGCCAGGCGGGAGGAAGCTGAAGGAGGTGTGTCCTCCTGCCCCCAAAAGCAAGGCCGAGGGCACGGGGAGCATCTCCCCACGCCGAGTTTCCCTACGAGTAGAGGGCTGCAGGGCAGGTGCACCGAGCCGGCGAGGGGACGCCACACCATGGCACCTGTGAGGACCAGGGCCAGGACCCCGGCCCTGAAGGACCAGGAGGAAGACCAGGAGCAGCCTCAGGGGCTGCGGACTCCCCAGAGAGGGGTAGGGCACTGCCCCGCCGCGGCTTCTGCTCCCGCCCGGGTGACGGCGGAGGGGGAGGCCAGCCCTACCCAGCCGGGAAGCGTCCCTCTCCGGCTACTGAGGGGGGCAACGGCCGCCCGGCGCCGTGACAGGCCCCCGCCCGGCAGGCGGGCAGCCCACCTCGCCGAACAAAAGGCCCGGCCAAGGCCCGGAAATGTCCCGGGGCGGCGGGCTGAGCCGCGCCACCAGCCCGGGGGGCGAACCCGCAGCCCGGTGTTCCCGCACGGCCGGGGACGGGGCCTGCGGCCGCTAGTGCCGCTCAGCCCGCCTCTCACCCCCGCGTCGGGCCCCGCAGTGGGAGGGAAGGAGCCGGGATAGAGGGGCGCTATGCAACAGCTCCGGCGGCGCTAAGGGAGGGAGGGGGCAGCACAATGAGGCCAGCGGCAGCCCCTGCTCCTTCGCTTAACAAAAGCTCCTCAGCCGCGGGGCTGGCACCCGCCTCCGCCCGGGGCTGCCTCCACCACCCCGGGCCCGAGGGGCTCTGCAGCGGGCGGCGCCCCCGCTGCGCCCCGCAGCCGGCGGGCGGTGGGAGCTGGATCTCTCATCGCCGTTCCCCCACAGCCAAATCCCCGGCCAGCCCCCCCCCGCCCCCCAAGTTTGCCGCCGCCCGCACAATGCAGCCCCCCCACCGCCCCGGGGGCCGTCGCACAAAGCGGGCCAGTCCCGCCGTCCTTCCCGCACCGACCTTGAGCCGCCTCAGGCACCCCTAAGGTTTTGGTCACCGCCTTCCACACGTTGCAGCCCAGCAGGCAGAGGAGAAGCGCTGCCGATCTGCTCATTTCCACTCGCCGCCGCCAGCCGCCGCCAAGGAGGGAATAGCCGCCGGAGCTGCTGCCCGGAGGAGGAGGAGAAAGAGCCGCATCAGGGGCTGGCCCGCTCCGCGCCTCCCTCCATGTTGCCGTGCGCTGCCCCTCCTGCTTTCTCCGCCTGCTGCATTGTCGTCCCGCCGCTGCGCCCCGGCCGCCGCGTCCCGCGCTCTCCCCGCGGGCGAGCAGCGGGAGGGGAAGGAGACGCGGGGGCGCCGCGCGGCTGCCTGCCCAGCTGTATTCTCTATCCCCTGCACCGCTCACTTCTCCCCGCTCTCCCGGCAGCAGCAGCCAGGCTCCACCGCCCGCTCCTTAACCCTTTGCAGCATCCCCTGCCCCGCGCGGCGCGCCTGGCGGGACAGCGCCCCCTGCCGCCCGAGCCGCACCTAGCCCTGCCCTCCCGGCCCGCCGCGGGGCGGGGAGCCGCGGCTCCGCGGCGATCACCGGGGCCTGCAGGGCGGATTCACCTGCTGTCGCCGGCGTGCGTTCCCCCCGCGACACCGGCTGTCGCCCGGGGAGCAGGCGTATGGCCCCGGCGGGCAGCGCGTGCCTCCGCCAGGTGGTACGGCTCTTACCTGCCGCGGGGGGCCGGGTCCCGCCTGGCTGCGCCCGCCGCCTGCTCTCTCTGCCTCTTCCCCCCTCAGCGGCTGCAAAATGGCCTCCTCGGTGGTGCTGTCCCCCGCTGCGGCGGCTCGCTCGCCTTCAGCCACAGCCCAGCGGGAGGGACGAGGGGGACGACGGACGTGGTGGCTATAATGGCACGGCTGAGACGTGTCGAGTCACAGGGTCCCCCATGGCCCTGCTGCTGTGCGTGGCACCCGGCCTTGTCCCTGATGGTGGTGATGTATTCAAGTCGTATTAAAAAATACAACCGAAGAACAACAGAAAATTCATCCATCTACTGTTTTTATGCAAAACTGCTTAAAAAACGCTATTGCAAACTGCACAAGGAAGGCAAATTTTGAGGTGGAAATACTGGCATTAATGGCTGAGGTCAGCCCTGGCGCTTGAGGTAGACTGTAGCAGTGTGGTGGCCTCCCACTGTGTCACAGTACAGGGCAGGACAGAAGCGGCACTGTGGAAACTAGCCAGGGCACAGAAGTCTCCTTGAAGGCTTTGTCACTGGTGTGTTTTGCACCATTGTAAGAGCATCCCTTGGTGCACTGTTTTCCAGGCCAGCAGAGACAAAATACAAGGCCACATCCCTCACTCCTCTCTTCCTGAGCTCTGCTGAGCGTTATGCTTCCTCGAGGAGGGAGAACATGCGCTCCTCCTGCTTCCTCCAGAGCAGGGGTTGCTGCTACAGACAGCTATTATGGCAAGTCTTTACACAGCTGTGCAAAGCAAAGTCCCTGCCCTGCTGCCTCACAGATTTCCCACGATCTGCTCCCAAGCACCACCAGTGCTTCAGTTTGCCCATGAGACTGAAGTTTGTATACCTACAAGTTCAATCTCACAAAAGTGTCTTAAAGCTTCAGGTTTTATTTATAACATCTATTTTTTAATAAAAATTTGCCATAAAAATGCAATGGGCTGTACATTTATTTTTAGAAAACAGTTTACTTTGTCACTTCAGTATTTGACCAGGGTAGGTATACCACAAGCTACAGGTTGTTCATTTTATGAATTTTATTAAATTCTTGTGCCCCAGAAGTGTTAAAACTCATTTTCTGCTTCATTTTTAGAGATGCTCCAGTAGATACAATGTATTTCACTTTGGTTTTATCATTGAGTTGCTCAAATACACTTTCTGAGAGTTAATAAATACAGCATAGACGCTGCAACTTTATCTTTTTATCCTGAGAATCTGGAGGAATTGCTTGTAAAACTTGGCCCTAGAAGAAAAGTAGGTACAAAAAGGCCATTCAGTTCACAGGGGAAACCAAATGAGCAAGTACAGATCATCTGATCTTACTCCTGTTTGTCATAAAACAAACATTTCTATATTGTAAACTCATGCCATGTCAAAACAGTTATCGTCTACCACGCATGGTCTGAAGAGTCTACTGGATTTATACCAAAGCTGATTGGAGTTTAGGGCCTGTTAGTGACTGTGAGGCAACTCCTTCCTAAAGAAAGGTTAGCCATGTGGCAAATAATCACACGTTAGCATACATAAGATGAGCTCATAGCTAGAAACTTACATAAAATTTATTTCTGTCCATAAGGAAAGCTAGAACAATTTGTTACAAGTAGGAGTATGCATTTTCCCGAATATAGTTGTATTACTTCTGTAGAAAACAGATACCATGGACCTTGCAACATCAGTGGATAACACAATGATTTGAGCTGGAAAAGAAATGAAATACTGCATTGAGATGTTTCCTAAATCATACTACAAACTACAGGCATATGAAACATTGACTTTTTGTTGTTGCCTTTTTCCTTCACAGAAAAAAGAGTATTAGTCGGAGCCACTCTCCATAGCACCTTCCTCTCTCCTGTGGCTGTGCACTGGGAACTATCACATCTCAATGGAGCTACAGACTGCATTGGTCTTCCTATGTTGATTTGCTACCTAGCTTGAGTAAACTGCCTTAAAGTTATGAAAGACAGCTTTATTGGGCTGGTGGTCTCATAGCTTTTAGGTTTTATTTATCCTGGGAAATATAGTTCACCTATGTGGATTCCATGACTAAGAGGTATCATCATATGACATCTCCCAGTTGACAAAAGCCAATGAAACACGAAGAAAAGATCAAAGCTTTTCTGAAATTGGTTATTCACAAATCTTTTTAAAATTACATATAAGTTAATGTCTAGATCTTAGTGTTACAATATCTCATCTAAAACCACGACAGAGAATGAAAAGAAAACCAATAGCTTTTCATCATATTCTCATAAATATTTTGACCTACTAAGGTGAGATGTGAATACCTGATCCTAAATAAACTATGCAGATTTTGAAAACACAAGCTATATATACCACACACTCCCTGCATTAGCCTTCTTTTATTTCAGCCCAGATACAGACTATGCTCGGTAAAGAGTTTGTCTCCTTCCTGAATAAGCTAAATTTATATATATAATTATGTGGTAGCACTTTCATAAATGCACCCACTCATGTCCTGAAACTGAGCTATTCCTCCAAAGAGCTTCTCTTGAAACGCTGTTCTGCCTTGCTTCAGTGAGCACTGAAGTATCTAGGGCTGACATACTGGTAATGCCGTTGATTCCTGGATGAACACTCCCTGTGACACATGTGACAGTTCATGTCTAAGAGCTCAATTCAAATCCTCTTCAAACTTAAGCAAATATCAGTTATACTCTAGCCACGTTTTCATGCCCTGTTTGCCAATACCCATTGGCTAGAAACCTTTAAAGAAAAAGAGGGACCAATTTACTGTAACCTAAGTAAACACCACAGGAGAAGTGTCAGTAAGTAACATTAACACAATAACATGACCTAAGTCAGGCTCTAGTGAGAGTTCAGTCTTAACTCTGGACATACATGAGCCAGAAATGTGCCCTTGTAGAAAAGAAGGTGAGTGGAATCCTGGGCTGTGTTACACGAAGTATTGTCAGCAGGTCAAAGAAGGTGATCCATCCCTTCTACTCAGTGCTGGCGAGGCCACACCTGGAGTGCTGTGTCCAGTTTCAGGCTCCCCAGTACAAGAGAAACACAGACATACTGAAGGGAGTCCAGCGAAGGGTCATGAAAATGATGAAGGGACTGGAACATCCCTCTTATGAGGAAAGGCTGAGAAAGCTGGGGCTGTTCAGCTTGGAGAAGGCTCAGGGGGATCTTATCAGTGTATATAAATGCCTGAAGGGAAGGAGTAAATAAGACGGAGCCAGGCTTTTGTCAGTGGTGGCCAGTGACAGAACCAGAGGCAATGGGGACAAACTGAAACACAGGAGGCTCCCTCTGAACATCAGAAAATGCTAATTTACTGTGATGGTGCCAGAGCACAGGACAGGCTGCCCATGGAGGTTGTGAGTCTCCACCCTAGGAGGTACTTGAAAGCCATCTGAACACAATCCTGGGCCACTGTCTCTAGGTAGCCCCACTTGAGCAGAGGGATTGGACCAGATGACCTCCAGAGGTCACTTCCAACTTCAGGCCTTTAGTGATTTCTGTTCAGAAGGAGTATTTGAGGCCTAGCACTCGAGGTGCAGTTGGAACTAGATGGTTGGACCTATTCCACAAGGTGGAAAGGAAATGTTTCCTTTCTACAGCATTTTCTATTTGTGCATTCTGCACTTAGGCATGTACACATTGTACATTTTTACACTGTACAAACAATGTAAATTACATTTTAAATTTTACAAACACATACATTTTAAGTTGTACAAACACGTTTTCAAATAGTGGACCATTCAAGTAATGCATACGAATATACTTACAACATGATCAGCTAGTAATGAGGCTCTCTGTACCAATCATTAGTAGATAGACATATACAAAGAGGTTAGGCTTATAGTTAAAATTTTCAGTTTCCTATGCTGAGTAGTTTCACAGAAATTTTTGAACAGTATGCTGAATAAGCAAAACAAAAATTCAGGCTAATTCTTTTCTATTCTTGCTTACAATTTCTACTACAGTTTTTTTTTGTGGTATTATGTAGAATCATAGAATCATAGAATAGAATCATGGAATAGTTAGGGTTGGAAAAGACCTTAAGATCTTCTAGGTCCAACCCCCCTGCCATGGGCAGGGACACCTCACACTAAACCATGTCACCTAAGGCCTCATCCAGCCTGGCCTTGAACACTGCCAGGGATGGAGTATTCACAACCTCCCTGGGCAACCCATTCCACTGCCTCACCACCCTAACAGGAAAGAACTTCCTCCTTATATCCAATCTAAACCTCCCCCGTTTAAGTTTTAACCCTTTACACCTTGTCCTGTCACTACAGTCTCTAATGAAGAGTCCCTCCCCAGCATCCCTATAGGCCCCTTTCAGATACTGGAAGGCTGCTTATGAGGTCTCCACGCAGCCTTCTCTTCTCCAGGCTGAACAGCCCCAGCTTTCCCAGCCTGTCTTCATACAGGAGGTGCTCCAGTCCCTTGATCATCCTTGTGGCCCTCCTCTGGACTTGTTCCAACAGTTCCATGTCCTTTTTATGTTGAGGACACCAGAACTGCACACAATACTCCAAGTGAGGTCTCACAAGAGCAGAGAGGCAGGATCACCTCCTTCGACCTGCTGGTCACGCTCCTTTAGATGCAGCCCAGGATATGGTTGGCTTTCTGGGCTGCGAGCACACACTGAAGCCAGCTCATGTTCATTTTCTCATTGACCAACACCCCCAAGTCCTTCTCCGCAGGGCTGCTCTGAATCTCTTCTCTGCCCAACCTGTAGCTGTGCCTGGGATTGCTCCAAGCCAGGTGCAGGGCCTTGCACTAAGCTTGGTTGAACTTAATGAGATTGGCATTGGCCACCTCACAAGTGTGTCAAGGTCCCTCTGGATGGCATTCCTTCCCTCCAGGGTCTCAACCGAACCACACAGCTTGGTGTCATCAGCAGACTTGCTGAGGGCGCACTCAAACCCACTGTCCATGTCAGTGACGAAGATGTTGAACAAGACCAGTCCCAACACCGGAGGGACACCACTTCTTTAGCCACTGGGACCACAACTCATTGTGTGTGGCCATCCATCCAGTTCTTTAGCCACTGGGTCTCTCCGAATTTAGAGACAAGGCTGTCGTGTGGGACAGTGTCGAACGCTTTGCACAAGTCCAGGTAGATGCCATCAGCTGCTCTACCCCTGTCCATCAGTTCCGTAGCCCCATCATAGAAGGCCACCAAATTGGTCAGGCAGGATTTCCCCTTAGTGAAGCCATGCTGGCTGTCACCAAGCACCTTTTTGTTGGAGAATCTGCTCCAAGATTTTGCCAGGCACAGAGGTGAGACTGACTGGTCTGTAATTCTCCGGGTCTTGAAAATGGGGGTTATATTTCCCTTTTTCCAGTCATCAGGAACTTCACGTGACTGCCGTGATTTTTCAAATATAATGGGCAGTGGCTTAGCAACTTCATTTGCCAGCTGTGTACAGAAATGTAAATTATGGAAGCTGTGGTCAGACAGCCAATGACAAATCAAGAATGGATTAAGAGTTAAATATTTTCTATACAGCAAGTGAATTCAGTGAACCAAGAGGTGCAAATATCTGTAATAAAGACATTTATCTAACAGTGTTATCTGGCCTTTCTGTTTGGTAGTACCAATCTGTGCATTTCAGAATGGCTTTTATAGTTTCTAGCAGAGTCCTTGTTTACCAGTGCACAAGTTACTCTGCATAAGGGTGATCACACAAAATTAACTAACTAACTAAATAAAAAGAGAGTGAATGTC